TCCCTTGTTCCCTTCCTTTTCTCCCTTCTCTATCTCCTGTCTTTGTCTCTTATTCCCTGGCCTCTGTCCCTCTGGGGCAAATCAGTCTCCTTTGTGCTGAGGTCTTGGTCTTAAAGGTCCTGAGTCAAAGGTTCCTTGCAATGGCTGCAGAGAAAGAATCAGTTTTCTCTAGGGACAAAACCTCGAATAGATTATCCAACCCCAAGTTGTCAGCCTAAACACATGTACAGAAGGGCAGCACTGTGTGGACTCAATATGTTTACATGTATGGGTGTGTGTGTGCATAACAATGATAATTAAAGAAGAGGACATGGATTTGAAAGGGAGTGGAGAGACACAGGAAGAGTTGAAGAGGAAGGAGGGAGGATGGAAATGATGGAAATACAGTACTCATCCATGAACTTCTAAAGAAAAATTAAATAAAAAACCCCAAAGTATTGGCGGCTGGAGAGATGGCTCAGTGGTTGAAAGTACTTGTTGCTCTTGCAGAGGACTTAGTGTTGGCTGGCACCGATCTGTAACTCCAGTTCTGGGAGAGCCAGCGCCCTCTTCTGATCTCTGAGGGCACTGCATGCATGTGGTACACAGATATACAGACAAAAACATAAATAAATCTAAAAAAAAAAAAAAAGAGTACGCATGCAAATGCCAAAGAGAAACCTTTTTTTCCTTTCTATGGTAATTTTAAAATAAGAAGAAAATCTGAGAACAAGATATTTAGAGTTGGAAAGTGTACAGATGTACATGTGTAAATACATACTATGCATATTTATGCAAGAGTGTGTAAATATTTAAAGTGTGTGTTACATGAGGCAGCTACAACGTTCATGAGACAGCGTTAGGCTCAGAGTCAAGGCTGGTCTGGATCTTAAAGGAATCTACCAGATATTTAGCATTTAAGTGATGAGCTATGTTGCGAAGCAAAATGAAATATTCCAGGTCTTTTAGACAAATACACCATCAGTCCTAATTATGCAAAGTTGTGGTTAGGAAAAATGAGGCACATGGTATCACGAAGTTTAGTGGAAACAGAACTAACGCTGTGGAGCGTGCCAGCTGATGCCTTGCTTTGTTCTGTGATGCTGTGCGGGAGATCACCCTGCTGCCTCTAGGCAGGGCTGGTGATGGCAAGGGGCAGCAGGCATCTCGAGGACTGGACCTCAGCATGTGTCTTGACAGATCTGTGCTGTATGATACCACTCACACAGAACTGCCTTCCCAGTTCAGGCCCATTCTAAAAAAATGGGGGCATTGATTTTTCTCCAAAACTACAAACGCTGAATGCCGTGGTAAAAATGTAATTTATTTATACAAATGGTGTGTTTTACAAAGGCCATCTGTCAGTTGACTCTCTGATCTACAACAAATCTGTTTGTTCCCCCAGAAGAAATAACTTGTCTGTCGAAAAGGATTTACAACCGACAGGCTGCCCGGTGCACAACATTGCTATAATAGTAACTATTGACGATCTATTTACTCTAGTGCTGTGAGTGGGAACTATTCTAAAGTATGGAAATTAATTTTTCATCATCTCAAAGCCAGGAAATGGAGCCCAGTTGCATCTATTAAGATTACTGCAAGGGAACTGTGTCCCCCCACCCCACCCCGGAAAAAAAAATCTGCTCAATGAATAGCGTTTATTAAGCTAAGTTCACACACCATTGCTTGCTGCCTGACATAGTAGGGAGAGGACCGGGAGGTTGAATTTAGGTCCTTAGTTATTTTTGTAGATGAGGACACTTCCAAAATTTATTATTATTATTTTTGTTACGTATGTGCATACTTAACACAACATATAGGTGGACGTCAGAAGACAAGCTTTTGGAGTCGGTTTTCTTCTTCTGCTGGGGTCCGGATGTAGGCCTCAGGCCATCAGTAAGCACTTTAGCCACTGAATCGCCTCACTGGACAGACTACTCTTAAATGATTCTGGCTGCAGAATGTCAAGGACTGATGACTCTCATTGGAAATGGAATTTTCTTTCTTTCTTTCTTTCTTTCTTTCTTTCTTTCTTTCTTTCTTTCTTTCTCTTCCTTCCTTCCTTTTTTTTGTTTTTGTTCTGTTTTTTTGAGACAGGATTATTCTGTGTAGCCCTGAGCTGTCCTGGAACTCACTCTGAAGACCAGGCTGGCCTTGACCTCAGAGATCCCCGTTGGGATATGCTTTTGAACAGTGTGTAAAGACTGTGTCTGTGTTATAGAAATGCTGGTTTCTATTCCTGCAGAGATCTGATTACAGCCCAGATCTTGGTATTGCTGAAGATCACCCATCTCAGTGTTTTGTAAATACTCCCCTTCTCACCTTCTGGTTCTAATAAAAAGCTGATGACCTATAGCTGAAGTGGGATTAGGAGGCAGAACTGCCAATCCCAGGGAATGGGTCTCAGGTGGGGGATGCGAGAACAAGGGACATGAGGACATGATGAACGAGATGAACAAGGAGGTGCCAGAGTGAGAGGACAATGGCAGGTAATGGGCCATGTGGCTGGGAAGTAGGCCAGGTCAGCATCGTTGGGCTAGACTAGCTCAGTCTGTGCTTGCTATAAGGCCTAAAGCTGTTGTAAGTAAATATAATGGGGCTCCATGTCCTAATTTGGGAGCTAGGGTGGTCATAGAAAAGCCTGAATTTTACAGATGCACCTGCCTCTGTCTCCCAAGTGCTGGAATTAAAGGTGTGCCCTGCCACTGCCCAGTGAAAACTACATTTTCTATTAAAATGAAAGAGAAGGACATGGGGTGTTTTACTGAGGATGTCTACTCACCCTACAAAGGGAGCCCACAACTGATCAAAGCATGGATACCACTAAAGTCCAACTTAGAGGACCAACGAATTTTATTGGGGTCACTTACAGGACCAGAAATAACTCAAAGACAGCTGTATCATAAATACCCACCCCAGCAATGGTACCAGCTCACAAAATCTGGGAACCTGGAGCATACTGCACAGCCCACAGCTCAGTGGGTTGGAGAGTGTCCCTTCCAAGAGAATCAGTCTAAATCTCCTCATGTAGCTCTACTGGTTTCTGTCTGATCCACACAGTTCGCCTTGGAATCTTTACAGCTTGGCTTGTCTGAAAATGGAGGTCAGCAATTTTTATTGTTTATTCTGGGGAGAGAGGGACCTAGTGAATCTGGTTAGTTTCAGGAACTTCCTGAAGCCATTTTGAGTGTTTACCTTCTGTCATAAGAAGCTTTCTGCCGTACAGAGTAAAAGGTGTGTGTATGTGGCAGGTCTTTTCTCTTAACAGATTTCAAGTACACAAGCCAGCATTGTTAATTATAGTCACCATGCTGTAAATTAGCACAATATTGAATATTGTGAGCAAATACATATTTAATCAATAGGCATGAGCCACCTGGCACCACACTGTGAGACATTCTTGAGCTCACCTTTTGTTTTAGTTTCCTTTCACGGCCCAAAAGCAAGTTAGGGGAAGGAAGGGTTTGTTTGGCTTATATATCTAGGTCATGATCTATCACTAAAAGAAATCAGGGCAGGAACTTAAGCAGGAATTTGAAGCAGAACCATGGAGAAATATTGCTTGCTGGCTCACACTTAGACTCATGCTTGCTTAGCTCTCTTTTTCATTTACCCTCATGTAGGGTGTCAACGAGCAATTCAGACAACTTGGCTCCATCCATGCCCATAGGTAGGTAAATCCTCAGGTAAGGCTTTCCCTTCAGATGACTTTAGTCTGGGTCAAGTTGACCATCAGAGCTAAATAGGACACCTTTCCCACCCCTTTGACAATTTCCTGTCCCGTTTCTTGTATTGGACCTTTCATCTTTTTTTCTTAATGGACTTCCTTGCTTAGGTGGCTCATTGGTAGTAGTTCTTGTCTCTCAAAAGCTCTTTTGTTAAAGGTTTAGCTCTCAACCTGGAGTTTTCAGGAAATGGTAGAAATTCCCTCTACAGAGGGAACTCATGACAGACCAAAGTAATAATACTACCAAAGTCCAACATGTTGAGCGAATGAGTTTACTAGGGTTTCCTACAGACACACGGGTACTGGTGAGTTGTTACTTAAAGGTGCATGGATGGCTCAAGACAGTTACATCACAAAAACTTACCCCAGCTAGTGTGACGACTCATGAAAGCTGGAACCTTGGAGTTCTCTACAGGGCTTGCAGGTAGCTGGACAAGTCAGAAAGTCTTTTTCTCTTCAGCATTCTTTACTGCTTACTTAAGCTTGTCAATCCAGTAAATTTCAGGGATTTGCCTGAGGCTTGTGAGTTGACTACTTCCTCAGATTTTCTTGTCTTTTTTAGACAGGGTCTCACTGTATATAGCCCTGGATGTCCTGGAACTCACTATGTAGACCAGGCTGGCCTCACAGAGATACACCTGCCTCTGTCTTCAGTGTTGGGATTAAAGGTGTGCCACTACTTTTCTGAGTTTTAATGAAGCTCCTTTTAGAACTTCCTGAGTATTAAGGAGCTTCCTTTCAGTATGGCATGTTTCGATTTAAATGAAATTGTTATATAACATAGGTCATTAGGAGTGTTCTGTCAGTGGGAATTATGGGACCTTGGCCTCTTTTGCTTCTGGGCTATGAGTGGCCTTGATTCACTACTGGCTCCTTGCCAGACAGTGCTATATTGCCACGTGCCTAAAAGCAATAGCCAACCAATCACAGGCTGGAGTCTCTAAAATTGTCAACCAGAACCTTTGCTCTTTATAATTTATCTCATATATTTTATTATAGTAATGGAATCTGACTCATCCAGTAGGACATACTTTCCAGGAACTGCCTGGAAAAAGATGCCAGCTAGAAAATACGATTTGCTTGCATATCTTTCATCTGTTGCCATTTCTTCCACTTCATCTGTCCTTGAAGCTTTATGTCTTTAAACACTTTTAGTGCTGTTTTAGTGGAGTCTTGGTAGAGTGTGTAAATAAATAGAGAATGCAGAGTTGGTTGATGTTTATCCACTTTTCTTTTCTTTCTTTTTTTTTTTTTTTTTTTTTTTTTTTTTTTTTTTTTTTTTTTTTTTTACAAATCCTCTTTTATTTATTTTTCATTAGTTTAAATCCGGGAAGGGTACAGCATCACACGGATTCTGTGTCCAATGGCCTTCGCAGGAAGGTTGCTTCGGAATTTGGCACGAACCATGCCACTGTTCCCATGGGCCCGAGTTACTTTTCCCCAGATCACTCTGGTTTTGTTTGGCTTGCCTCCAGGAGTCACTGTATTGTTTTTTGCTTTATACACATAAGCACATCGCTTGCCTAGGTAGAATTCTGTTTCATCTCGGGCATAAACACCCTCAATTTTAAGAAGAGCTGTATGCTCTCTTTGGTTCCGGAGACCTCGCTTGTAGCCAGCAAAAATGGCTTTGCACCACAGCCTTCCAGACATATCTGCTGCTTAGAAGTCCTGTTCCCAGCAGGCCTTCCCAGGCGCCAAGATGGTGGAAAGGAAACCAACTGCACTTTTATCCACTTTTCAATGTCTTCCCCCCCCCCTTTTTTGAGGCAGGGTTTCCTTTAGCCCAGGCTAGCCTCTTTTAGGTAGCCCACGCTAGCCACAAGGATGATCTTAAACTTCTGATTCTCATGTATCTACCTGCCAAGTTCTGGGAATTCAAAGGCACCATCATGCCCAACTAATGCTGGGAATCAAATCCAGGGCTGTTATGCATGCTAGGTGAGCACTCTGCCAACTGACTCATGTCTCCAGCCCTTGTCTTTTTCCTTTGGTAGTAGAATTCTCCAAATTAAGCCAGACAGCTAGACTACACTTCCCAGGATCCTTTGCAGCTGTATATGATTGGGCCATGGTGCTCTGTCTTGTTCTGCCCATATAACACGTGAAACTTTTAAATCAAGCTCTTGAAGGCAAGCAGCACATCTTCTGGCTCCGTATCATCTGGCCGTGGGTGAGATGTATAGGTGATGGCGTGTGCCCTGGGAAGGCTGAGCAATAGGGGAAGGAGTATTAGTCCCCAGCATTGTAGGGATCTTGGTCTTTTAATACTCTTTGTTATGGGGGAAAGATGACATGTCAACCTTATTTAATACCACCTGCATTCCACGTGCCCCATGGCTTATAGTTGGTATGGCATGTGTTCTTTAGAATAGTTTGTATTCATTCTTTGCATATAAAGTACCTTGATCATACCCTCCAACTTCCTATCCCACACCCCTACTTCCCAAATGTCTTCTTCCAACCTTCAAGTCTTTTTTTTTTTTGTCCAATTATTGCTGCCTGATGGAATCTTGACTGATGTTGTTGGCTTGACCTAGTGCAGATCTTGTGCCGGTGACTACAGCTGCAGTGAGCTCATGAGTGCAACAGCCAGGTCATGCCTAGAAGATAGCATTTCACAGCACAGCACTCCTCCTCCTCTGCTGGCTCTACATCCTCATCTGCTGGCTCTAACATCCCTCCTGTGCCCTCATCTGCTGGCTTTACCATCCCTCCTGTGCCCTCATCTGCTGGCTCTTGCAGCTCTCCTGTATCCTTATTTGCTGCTTTGATACTAGTCATGTTCCCTTGAGCCTTGGAGTAAGGGTTGATAAAGGTGTTCCATTTTGGTCTGAGCATTTGGTCAGCAATAATTTATTCTCAGCACTTGGAGAAGTTATGAGTCTCTGCATTAACCGCTGCCCACTGCAGAAAGAGGTTTCTATGGCCAAGGTTAGGAGTGCGCTAGCCTACATGCCTAAATATAAATATTTCGCAGCACTTTGGCCACATGCTTATTTAGCAAGACAACAATAGCAGGTGCCCCCTGGGCCTCTGCTGGTCTGCCATAGAGCTCGTTGATGATAAACAGTAGAGGGGAAACCGTGTCTGCTAGTCAGTTAGATGAAGGAAGTGTGAATATTCCTCCAATTTATTCTGTTCTTACCTGCTTCATTCAAGGGAAGAAGGAGGTGTTTAGCAGCTACAGACTCGGTTTTAGTCCCATGCCATGCACAGGGGGGCCTTGGGCGAGCAGGAGAATGCCTATGAGGCTGCTTCTTCATCTCCGAGTGATAATGGAGTTCGAGGAGGGGGCGGGCCACCAAGTTCTGCTCTTGTGATTATGTCTTCAAATATTTGCCTTTTGAATCAGATATGGATCTTTATTATGAATGTTACTTAGTGTGAGAACACACTGTGTAGTAGTAATATAAATAGCTGTTATTTATTAGGCATTTCCCACATGTCAGCAGCTGCAGAATACTTTAATAATGATGCTGATGTTAATAATAAACCCTTTCGGCATCTGTGCATAAGCACCATCATGTCTATTTGTTCCTGCTTTGCACACAGCACACTCCTTCTTTCCTTCTTTCTTTCCTTCCTTCTTTCCTTCCTTTCTGAGACAGGGTATCACTGTGTTAGATGCAGGTAAAGAATCACTCTGTGTAGGGAACGTGAACGTCCTTGCCTTTTGCCAGGGGTCCTGGATGCCCACAGCCAACTATACACGTAAGATGCATGTATGTATATAGACAAGATAGAACATGTACCTCATATGGCAGCATAGGATAAAATAGGCGTCCAAATGGTTGGACATAATCTTGCAGTTGTATTTTCCATGTCCTGCTTTGTGAAGAACTATAACTGGATCTCTCTGTTGTATGTGCTTATTTTCCTAGAAGACACTTGCCATGGTCTTACCATGTGAGGCTGAGCCCCAAACATAACAGTATTAAGAGCTGAGGCTCTAGGAAGTGAGTAGTGACCTTGGGGAAGAGGCTGAGGCAGTGTCTTCTCTTCTACCACTTGGGGTGATCAGGAGAGTCAATCCACTGGCACCTCTGACTTAGGCTTCCCAGTCTCCAAAACAGTGCACAGTAAAATTTCTCCTTACATATTGCCTAGTCTCAGGTATTTTGTCAGAGCAGCCCCCAAAGACCAAGCCTCTCAAAAGGGTATTAAGATCTGTCCAGACTCTCATGATATATTCACAGTTTTCTTCCTCTTCCCTTTCTTTCTTTCTTTCTTTCTTTCTTTCTTTCTTTCTTTCTTTCTT